ATTTAAATATATTTATTTAAAAAATTCAAATAGTTCAGAATTTTTTTTAAATGCAGATTAAGGATTCCATAAAGATAACATTTGGGAAATTTCATAATGAACTTTAATATATCGTATGAGTATATATTGTTTTTACATTGACGACTCTGCGAGAGACTGTGCAAATATCGAAAAATATCGAGGAATATTTTAAAAGATCTCAATACATCTGACATGTTTACCCTTTATTCAGATATTGTTTTTTTTTTTTTTTAATATGTTAAAGATTTTGTTATCATATTGCAACAAAACATGCCAAATTGTGCGGGCGCCATGTTTGGCAAATCTTTTAAACAAAGAAATAATGAACCAGATAGAACCATATTAATAATGAATTATGTTGTAATAAGTCAATGTATGCTTTTTCCTCTGTGCTTTTAGATTTTTTTATGCATTTTTACTACAATAAAATAAAACCCATAGCTGTAGTTTACCAAATAATTTTGTCAGATAAATACCTTAACCTGGTTCAATGTTGAAACGATATAAAATATTTCCCTCATATTTTCATGATTTAAAGTCCTCTTGTGGTGAAAGTCAAGCATTTAATGTTGTTTATGTGGTGTTTTTAATGTGCTTTAAGACAAACCATGTGTAAATTCATAAGTTGACAGCATTGCTGAGTATTTTCTCCTTAAAACTGCAGTGAACCAAAAACAGAGTGTGAAACACGGTGTGAAATCGCTGGTGTTTCTGACGTCACAAACGACCTTGTAACCAATCAGATCAACGTGTGATTGTCAACCAGTGGATCTCTGAGCTGAGTGAGTGAGTGAGTGAGTGGAGGGGGGGCTCATTTGCATATTCATAGCACCACGCATAATAAATGAGGCAATGGTGTCGAGTTACATTCAAGCTATTTCAGTGGGACTCTAATATCAATCTGGACATCAGTTTTGGCCTAGTCTGATTAAAACCAGACCATTCTCAGTTGTAACTGAGTTATGGTCTGGCAAAGCGTCATAGACAAATCATTTCCAGAGGGGCGTCACCAACGGATGTCATGGATAGACCTAAAACCAATCAGAGCGATGAAGGAGATGACGTACGCACACTCCGAGTGTTGTTCTTTGCTCGATTTTTAACAAAAAGGAACCGTTCAGATTGCTTTAAATAGAGACGAAAGTTGATTCGAATGTGTGATGTTCGACGCCGGCATCCATCTTTTAATGTAGGCTACAAAATCCCAGCACTGTCGTCATCGTGTAAAGCCCGCCCCTACATTTCTGATTGGTGTCTCGATTTCACCGGATTGGAAATGGGCTTGAATGAGCTCTTTGCCGGACTACATTTCGGAGTAAATCTAAATTTGCTGGAAGTTGTTTGGTTTTTCCCAGGCTACTTTTGGCCACTAATCAAACCTAAAAACACAAATCTGACACAATTGTAATTTTTAGATAACTGAACCTCGGTCATTGAAGGGTAAAAATCACATCAACACACAGATAAGTTTAATTTGAACATTTTAACTCAAGTCTTCCTTAAAGCTCAAGCCCATCACGGATGCTTTGCTCGTAGCGAGGGCTCAGTGATAGCTCATTTAAGCATTGATATTGATGGGCTGGCTGATGGGAAACCACCACGGGCCTCTGACAGATGAAAGCTTGAAGACTTTAACCTAGCGCTGGCCGAGCGCCAAGGCGTGAGAGAGCGAGAGCACAATGGAGCAATGTTCACTGACAGAAGAGCTTTGGGCTGTCAGCAGGGCCTTCAGCGCTGTCGCCGGCCGGCACACGGGCTCTTCACGGACCGCCGCACCACACACACCACACTATCTGAGGATCAGCAGGCTGACACGTGACCCTTACCGTACATATTTACCATAGTAACCGTAGTTTCAGCAAAACACCATGGTTAATACTGTTACTAACACCATGGCTACACCATGTTATTAACACCATGGCTACTGTTACTACTGTGAAACCATAATCAGTGTGGAATTTCCTTAAAATGACAGGTGAAGCTTTGTAAATATATAATATGTGTACCAGTATGTTTATCCCTCTGCTCCTCATCACGTGTCAATCAATTTTTAATTCTTTATTAGCCTGGGAAATCCTGGCAAATTTAGATTTGCTCTGAAAGTAAGTCTGCCAAAGAGCTCATTCAAGCCCATTTCCAATCCATCGAAATCGAGGCACCAATCAGAAACGTTGGTGCGGGCTTTACACGATGACGACAGTGCTGGGATTTTGAAGCAGATTTTGTAGCCTACATTACAATGGATGTCGCCGTCAAACATCACTCGTTCGAATCAGCTATCGCGTCTGAACCGAGCAAAGAACAACACTCAGAGATGTTTCTCCGCCGCTCTGCATACGTCATCTCCTTCATCGCTCTGGTTTTAGGTCTATCCGCGACGTCGGTTGTTGACATCTGGAAATGATTTGTCTGCTTTGACAGACCATAACTCAGGTACGACTGACAATGGTCTGGTTTTAACCAGGCTAGGATTTTATGAGACTAAACTATATTTATGCTGTATTCATAATCCATTTATTGAGTTTTTGAGCATAGACCTTAAACTTAAACTGCCGTAATTCTTGAATACTTTAAAGCAACAGATTTAACTTTGGTCTTTTTTCAAAGACGACACTTGGCAGATTATTGCTGAAGTGAAAAAAAGTTTTTCATGAAAAATGCACAAAAATACTATTTTTGTTTTTTTATATGAAATCTATATTTGAAGAGTTCAGATGCAAAAACCTCTAAATGCCATTTGAAATTTTCTTCTTTAATGATGATTTTTATCAAACTTGTATATTTAAGTTCAGTAATTTCACTTAAATAACAATTAATAGGTAATTATCATTGCCATTTAAGTGAAATCACTGAACTTAAATATACAAGCTTGATAAAAATGATCATTCTAGAAGAAAATTTCAAATGGCACTTAGAGGCTTTTGCATCTGAACTCTTCATTTTTAAAAAACATGTTTTACTATAAAACAGCTAGAACATAAAAGGCATAAATCTAAATGAACTGTGTTCCAAATTTGAGCCTGATATCTCTTTCGGTAAGATTTTGTTTGGCTGCAGTACCAAACGCTTCCACTAGAGGAAATTCGTCTCCCATTCCATTTTTGAGTACAAATGTGACTATTTTTTTTTTCAGGACCATTTAACCTTTTTTATATCATGTCCACGATTGTGTGTTCACAGAGCAAGTACCAAAACCTTTACCAAGTTTCGTACCATTCCAATGAAGTAAAAAAATAAAATAAAAAAAACCACACAATTTTTCAGTCGAAAATGACCGAAGAGCACCAGAGGGTTTGTACAGCTACTATTACTACTGTAAAACCATAATAAATGTGATATTTATCTTTATAGTGCTGTCAAATCGATTAATTGTGATTAATTGGATCTAACATTAATATTTTGTAAGTATATAATATGTGTGTGTATACATACACTTGATATTGGTATCATACGTGAAAAGTTAGAGAAATAAAATGCTAAATATCATGTCAAAGCGTAACATTTTTAGAATGAAAACGTAAAAATGATCAGTGTTTTCCATTTTGAATTAACTTTATTTTTCCGTCCCCATTGGCAGATATTTGTTCTTGTTTTCAGCATAAACACACTTAATTCTAATATATTTTTTTATGAAAAGAAGACTAATATTTGCTTTTCAAGTAAATGGATCTTGATTTAAGAATGTTTAGATATTTGTAACAGAAAATTACACACACACACACAATATATATATATACGTATATATATATTTGGTAGTGAAATATATTTTTTTTGCACATTCAACTGATTTCTGAAGGATCATGTGAGTGAAGACTGGAGAAATGATGCTGCAAACTCAGCTTTGATCACAGGAATAAATAACACTTTAAAGGGATACTCCACCGGGTTTTCATATTGAACTATGTTATTCCCTTAACTAAGACGAGCTGATGCATACCTCTCTCGTCTCAGTGCGTGCACTCTATCACTCTGTATTGCCGCAAAACTATGTTAGCACTTAGCTTAGCCCAGTGCATTAAATATGGGCCAAAAAGAGAAGCGACAAAACACTTCCTCGTTTTCCCTATTTAAACACAGTTACTCGATTAGTGTAACTCGACCTAGGCTGGTGACACAAAATCAAACGTTGTGTTTTTCTAAGCGTTTAAAATTGATGACTATGTTGTGTGGCGGAATACCATAAAAAAGTGCTTTAGAGCACTTCAACTTGGCACAATAATACCTTCACTCGTGAAAAGTCCTCTTACCGGCTCCCACTTCCTCGTTCTCCCCCTCCCTCTTATTTCCGTCAATGCAGCCAACGTGACATGCGACAAAGTGGGAGCCGGTAAGAGGACTTTTCACGAGTAAAGGTATTATTGCGCCAAGTTGAAGTGCTCTAAAGCACTTTTTATGGTATTGCGCGCCATACAATATAGTCATCAATTTTAAACGCTTAGAAAAACACAATGTTTTATGTGTCACCAGCCTAGGTCGAGTTATACTAATCGAGTAACTGTGTTTAAATAGGGAAAACGAGGAAGTGTTTTGTCGCTTCTCTTTTTGGCCCATATTTAATGCACTGGGCTAAGCTAAGTGCTAACATAGTTTTGCGGCAATACGGAACGATAGAGTGCACGCACTGAGACGAGAGAGGTATGCATCAGCTCGTCTTAATTAAGGGAATAACATAGTTTAATATGAAAACCTGGTGAAGTATTCCTTTAATATTCAAATACATTAATATTAAAAATAATTTAATATTCAAATACAGTTATTTTAAACTGTAACAATATTTCACAATATCACTGCTTTCCCTGTGGTTTGGATTCAGTAAATGCAGTCCTGGTGAGTGGAAGAGATTTATTTATTTAAAAACATTAAAAAAAATCCCATTGCAAAATATATTTATTTTAAAGTTAACTTTTAGGAGAATGCTACGATAGAGATGACCTCAAAGCCAATAAAGAGACAAAACACTCATTTTGAGTTTCAATTACCCCGATTAGTGTTTGCCTCTCTTCTTGTCATCATCATTTGTCGTTGATTCTTCACCTCACTTTGCAGCTCTGAGGTCTACGTTGGCCAAGCGCTGATGAAACTCTTGTTTGATTGTCAGGATGTTGATGGCTGTTGGCTCTATGTGGATTATCATAGGATATAAATCTGTTATCAAAACACTCTGTAGATTACACCGTCAAAACATGAGTGAAGACAATGCTATAAAAGCGCAGCCAAGAACTTAGCGAATTATCAAGACTAAGAAGAGTTGTGGAGCGAATGGCCAACAATAACAGCTTACTTGTTGACGGTGACCTGCATCTTATTCCTCCGGCGGAATGAATCACGCGTCAAACTCGGGGTGAGAGTTCTGCTGGCCGAACCTCGGGACTATTTACGACGAGGGCGACCTGGAGGAACACGAGGGGGGGAAAAATGACAGGCATGCGCTCTGCCCCCCAGGTTTTATTTGTTGTCTTTTATTCCCGGGGTACGCATTAAAGGCAGGAAAATGAATACGATATCTCCTTACATCTAAACTCTGAGAAGCGTTTCAGTGGCTCGGGAACCAGCGCCCCCCCACCCGCACACACCCACGCCTACATATTTCATCTGCTCTTCCAAGATGTTTGAAGCCTCTGACCCAGCTGGATTCTGCTTTGAGCTGGAAGCGTTCAAAGTGTTACAGGGACACTAATCATCGGATCGAGCAGCGAGAGACGCCTCCCCGAGGCGGCCTGGTCCGAGAGGGACGTTCTTTGATCCCGCTTTATACTTGTTTTAATGTCTTTGTTAACATGTTGCATATATGTGGCCCCGCAATGGCGGCGGTATGTAGATCCTTCATCACGCCATTTATTTTACACAACCAGTCAAAAGCTGAGAATAAATAGGATTTTGAATGTTTCTGAAAGATGATGGTCCACTTTAGACGGTCTACTAACTATTAGGAACATTGTGTCAACTAACTCTCATTAGAGTATTAGTAGACTCTCTGCTTAATATCTGCTAACTCTTTATTGTGATGCTCCTCAACAGATATTATACTGAATATTTTACTTTGCAACCACATGTCAACTATAGCACTATTCAGATGGTTATTTTAAAATAAAAATCTGTAAAAATAAATTTTACACTTGAGTGATAAAACTCATGCATTACAATGGCGATTTATTGACGACTAGGGTGAGTTTTGTGATCGTGCAAACCCGCGAACACGTGGTCAGCCGCATGATTGCACAAAATGTCACATGCTTGGAATAATACAAATAAATTCATATTTAATGTAATAATAATAATAAACAAAAAATTAAATCTCCTTTTAAAAATAGCATGTACGTTATATTCAAAATGGTTGTATATTCTTGAATTTTATCTCAAAAGGATCTTGTTTTAAAATAATAAAATAAGTTAATGCAGTCTCTTATTTACATGAGGTAAAAATAAAGCTGCATGGTTTGTATTTCTACTGTCTTGTATATAGCCTACATGTTTTAAAAGTGTATCATATTGCTGGCCCAATAACGGCCAATTTCAAATATTTACGTGTTTTTTTTTTCTCTTTCTCATTTTTGTTCATTAAGGTGAAGTTGTGATGAAATGTTGTTCTTTTAAATACTTTCCAGCATTTCAGTGATAAAAATGCTTATGGTAAAGCGCAACAGTTACAGTGTTATGCAGTGGTCAGAAAGGACTTAAGCAGGCTATTTAGAAGTGATTTCTTCTTGTAAACTCAGAGATGTGGATTCGGGACACATTAGTGTTTGTCAAAAACATTAGGTAATTCACCCGGGGGTTTTCGTGGCTTGTGTAAGAAAAACACTGACATTCGGGATTCGGACGGCAATAAAATCACAGTCTTAAGGCCAGAAGCTACAAGTCATTTTTAGAGTTGGGTATTTAAGATATTTTGAAGAACGATTGGAACCACACAGTTGTTTGGCACCATTGACTTCCATAGTAAAAAAAAAAAATATATATATATATATATACCATGGAAGTCAATGGTGCCAAAGTTACAGTTGTTCTTCAAAATATCTTCCTTTGTGTTCAGCAGAAGAAAGAAACTCATACAGGTTTGCGACAACTTAAGGGTGAGTAAATGATGACAGAATTTTCATTTTTGGGTGAAGTATCCCTTTAAGGCCTTTGAAGGTCTGAAATTCGAGTCAGAAATTTCCACACGTTTAAAAAAAAATACGACCTCACATTGTCAATCACGCTTGCATACTACCTCCGAAACTTTTGTGCATTATAAAAAAAAAATCAAATCTGGTTTGATTTTCTGCATTTTCACATCTGTAGCAAGCGTTGGATGGTGTTTGAATGGTGTTTTGACAATTAAGAGGCACCGATCACGAATGTGAAAAGACGCATACGAAAATGTCCACCACATCCCAAAGATGCTCTATTGGGTTGAGATCTGGTGACTGTGGGGGTCATTTTAGTACAGTGAACTCATTGCCATGTTCAAAAAACCAATTTGAAATGATTTGAGCTTTGTGACATGGTGCATTATCCTGCTGGAAGTAGCCATCAGAGGATGGATACATGGTGGCCATAAAGGGATGAACATGGTCAGAAACAATGCTCAGGTAGGCCGTGACATTTAAACGATGCCCAATTGTCACTAAGGGGCCTAAAGTGTGCCAAGAAAACATCCCCCACACCATTACACCACCACCACCAGCCTGCACAGTGGTAACAAGGCATGATGGATCCATGTTCTCATTCTGTTTATTCTGACTCTACCATCTGAATGTCTCAACACAAATCGAGACTCATCAGACCAGGCAACATTTTTCCAGTCTTCAACTGTCCAATTTTAATGAGCTCTTGCAAATTGTAGCCTCTTTTTCCTATTTGTAGTGGAGATGAGTGGTACCCGGTGGGGTCTTCTGCTGTTGTAGCCCATCCGCCTCAAGGTTGTGCGTGTCGTGGCTTCACAAATGCTTTGCTGCATACCCCGGTTGTAACGAGTGGTTATTTCATATCTATCAGCTTGAATCAGTCGGCCCATTCTCCTCTGACCTCTAGCATCAACAAGGCATTTTCGCCCACAGGACTGCCACATACTGGATGTTTTTCCCTTTCACACCATTCTTTGTAAACCCTAGAAATGGTTGTGCGTGAAAGTCCCAGTAACTGAGCAGATTGTGAAATACTCAGACCGGCCCGTCTGGCACCAACAACGACGCCACACTCAAAATTGCTTAAATCACCTTTCTTTCCCATTCTGACATTCAGTTTGGAGTTCAGGAGATTGTCTTGACCAGGACCACACCCCTAAATGCATTGAAGCAACTGCCATGTGATTGGTTGATTAGATAATTGCATTAATGAAAAATTGAACAGGTGTTCCTAATAATCCTTTAGGTAAGTGTGTGTATATTACCATTCAAAGGTTTAGGATAAGTTTAAGGTGCATAGTGAAGAATTGCTGGAATAAATTATATTTGAAAATATATTCACAGAGAAAACATATGTTTTAATGTAATCATATTTCATATTATAACTGTTTTTACTGTATCAAATAAAACCATCCTTGGTGAGCAGAAGAGACTGTGATTTCTTTTTTTCTGATCTTTTGATCTTTGATTATCAAGAATCAGTTTCTGTTTACATTTCTTGAACTCTTACATGTTTTCAGATCAATGTTTTGACTCTAGACATCAATCGCCAGAACTTTCCATATGACATCACATCAACTCATCCGTGGAGCTTCTCTGATTGGATAATACGTGAACATGTTTCTAATGACATCATGCAGCTGTAAGAACCAGAGGACACATAGTTTACCCCTCACACACACAACTTCATCACACACTGTGTCTGTACTCGTATAGAGGATTCAATAACATCATATTTCCCCCTGTCTCCTCCCTCACGCTGAGATGAGAGAACAGAAGGGCTGGGTGAGGAGAGATGAGGAATATCTTATCCTCCTGAGGTGTAACAAATGCAGCGGTAAAGAAGAACAGAGGGAGGGGGCTGTGTTTGCCAGTACAAGACCAAATACTTTGAGTTTTCTCTGCTCCATTTGTGAAGCTCTTTGTCACCTGTCTTTGGAGGCTAGTAGGTCAAAGCAGAGTTTGTCTTCCAGTTGTTAAAGACATTCGGCACTCGTATATTGCCTGACGGGGGGGGGACTCAAGGCATTTCCCCCTATTCACACGCCGAGGTGTGTGTGGGTGGGTGTTCCCGCCTGACTGAGGTGGAAATGTTAAAAAGTTGCAAATAGCAACTGTCATAGTAAATAGTTTTAAGGTAATTACACGTTACAAGGTGTTTGTGCACTACTCACATGATGAGACAACGTTTTGAGTAATATCAGTTACTCAATAATGATTGTTAATGTAAACAACATGGCTTTCAAATGATTTCGAATATTTATTTATTTCGATATTACGGAAACTGGCTTTAGAAGGCAATATGTGGCTGTACCCAGTCCATTAAACTGAGTAGTAGGTCATTAAAATGCATTAAATACACATCATATCTGTAAATCTGTGCTGTCTGTTTTTGGATTCGAACAGAAGATGGGAGACTCTGATCTTCAACCTCGCTCTATAAATCTGTCTGCGATCCCGCATCAAATTCTCCACAAATCCGTGTAAAGATAGCGCCGTAAGAGTTAATGCTCTTTTCATGGACGGCCTTGGCTCCATTCACACGTCTTTTCCTGTGCACGAGGTTATGTGTAGACGGATACACACCGACGACGTCTCCTGTCGTTCCAGGGATGCTGGTCTGACGCTGCTCTCGTCTCATAACACCCCATTACCTCGCCCCACATCCCACATGTTTCTCTCCTCCTGTCTCTCTCTCACCTTGCATAGAGGTAATTCAGCAATGAATCACCCGACGCTCATGTTAAAGTTATGTTTAAGTTCCAGCGACCCCACGTCCCAGATAGCAGGAATTTATGTGTCTGCTCGACGAGAGGTCAAGTGCTTCTCCAAAGCGCCGGGGCCAGTTCTGCAGTGGCCATCGCTTAGACGTGTTTACTGCAGGAGAGATGAAATAATTAAGTGGCCCGAGGATAAAGTCAGATTTATGATGGAATCTGTGTGCAGGACATGCAATAACTTCCCGGAGGAATTAAAAGCATTAAGGAATTTCAGTGGGTAATTTTTAGCTGTAATTGTTGAGATTGGTTTTGTGCTAACCAAATTAATTTTGATGGTCCATTTTGAACATATAGTATTACTAGCATACTCACAACATTCTCAATTCAAAATAAAGGCTCTTTATGGGCATCAACAGTTCTGAGAACATTCAGCAACAATTTATTTCAATAGTAGACTCTCTGCTTAATATTGTCAATAACTCTTTATTGTGACGCTCCTCAACAGACATTATACTGACTATAAGTAACTTTGCAACTACGTCAACTTATTTTAATCCTTAACAGTGCACTAATAACACACTAATGACAGTTAGAAGACATGTAGGTGCAACGTTACGTATAGTCAACATAATGCGTTAAACGGACCATCAAATTAAAGTCAAACCAATGGAAATTGCTTAAATTGTTTTAAAAATGTGATGCTTTTATTG